ATCCCATGTGACACTCTAAAATTTCTTGAAAATGATATATATATCCAAGTCAATGGAAAATGTAGAAAGTATCTTTAATTTTGGAAAGCAAATAAGAAATAATAGGTAATAATAATATGATATCAGCATATGATAGGTTAATCATAATCATAGGAAAGAGTAGGTAATAACTATGATATCTCTATCTTAGGAAGGGAAAAAACTTACGTGGACACATTAATATTATTGTGAACCTAAAGTTTATACGCACGCAACTTATGTAATTGAACATAGTGACCCTAATTTTAACGTAGTAATCTTTATTAAAACTTGTGTGACCTTTAATATTATTGTAAACCTGAAGTACGACGTTATATTGAACATAATGACCCTAGCTTTTTTAAATATAGTGACCTTTATTATTCATATTGACCAGTGTATAAAAATTTCATTTAAAAAAATTTAACCTTTTTATAGCTTTTATAATACCAAAATGACTTTTATTTCAACAATAACCTTTTATTTTAATATAGTGACTTTTTTTATTATTAATAAAATAATCATAATGCCTATAATGTTAGAGGTCCACGATAAATTAGTATATGAACCAGGTCTATTTAAGAGTTTGAATCTTAGGAAAGCAGAGCAGAAATAATAGGTAATAATAAATATGATATCTTATTATCAAAGGAAAGTAAATCAAAATTAAAACTTTCATATGTGGTGGCCACACCGTGAGGCCAACCACAATTTTTTTTTTTTTTTTTAACTCTCTCTCTCTTCTCTCCTCTAAGATCTCTCCTTTCATTTTCTCTTTCTAACTTTCTCTTTCTAATCGTCGCTGAAAAATTCTGCTCGTACTCCGTCGCCGGAAAATTGGTCGCGGTTTCTTATAAACAAGTTAGGCCCTGTTCTTTTGAGTTGTTCAGCTCTACTGAAACCTGCTATACTCTGCTTAAAAATAATAATAATAATAATTAATATTTAATAAAAAAATTATTATTATTATTATTAATATTTTATAATAATAATTAAATAATAATAATAATAATGATAATAATAATTAATACTCCCTGCGTTCCGGAAAGTTTGACTCACTTTGCAATTGCGCGGTCTCCAGTGAACATCTTTGACCATGAATAACTCTGGCTATGTATAAGTGAAAATTATAAAAAGTAGATATTTGGATTATTTATAATAAGGGGAACCTAATAAGATTTCACATACTAACTTATTTCTATTGTATAGCTCATTAAATGTGGTCAAAGTTATTTTATTTTGACCAAATGAATAGTAAGTGAGTTGAAATTTTAGAAATGGAGGTAGTATATAATATTAATTGATAATAACAACCAATATTTAATGATAATAATTAATATTTTATATTATTTAACACATTTTCTAATGTTATAAAAAGAGTAAAAAAATCTAAAAAATCAAATAATAATAACAACAACAACAACAATAATAATAATAGTAATAATAATAATATTAAAAACAATAATAACAGTAAATAGTAGTAATAATAGTATTAGTAGTAGTAGTAGTAGTAATAATATAATAATAATAATAATAATAATGCGATGATAATAATAATAATAATAAAATAATAATAATGTGATAATAATAATAAAATAATAATAATAATAATAATAATAATAATAATAATAATGCTGAAATCTGCTCTGCTCTACTCTACTATGCTCTGCCCATAAGCTCAAAATAATTGGGTCTTACAGGTTTTTAAGACCAAATTCAAACATGAAAACTCTAGATTTAGAGTTTTCATGGCCGAATTTAACTTTTTTAGCCATATTTGAAGTGAAATTCGAAGCCATTGCTGATTTTTAAGGTATTTGTTCGATTTAATTTTTTTTTTTTGAGGTTTTTATTTTTTTTCATTTGTTTTGTGTGTGTTTTTTGATTGTGCAGCCGTGGTGGGTCTTGTTGGGTGAGGTTTAGGTGTGGTTTGGGTGGGTGAGTCTTGTTGGGTGTGGTTTGGGTGGGTGGGTCTCGTTGGGTGGGGATCTGGTGGTGGGTAGGATTTGTTGTTGTGGTGGTGGGAAAAGGGTTGGGTGGGGATCTTGTTGCTATTAATGTTTCGGCTGGATCTAGATTTGGTTGTGGGTTCGGTGAATCGTGGTGGTGGCGTAGCGTATCGAGGCTGGGGCTGGTGGCGTGGGAGCAGTGGGTACGGGAGTGAATGTGCAATAGCAGGGGTCTAGGTTGTGTGATGAGTGAGGTGCAACAGTTGGTGGTGTGGTGGAGTTTACGGCTTTGAGGTGGTGTAGAATTAGAGGTTACTAGGTTGGTTAGGGGTTACTAGGTTGGACTAGGTTGGTCAGGGGTTACTAAGTTAGTCAGGGGTTAGTTGTGTGTTAGCTTGTCACACCGTGTGGCCAGCCACACACAAAACCTACTGTATTGCTGATAGGTAATACATATGATATCTCAATTTTAGGAAAGCAGAGCAAAAATTATAGGTAATAAATATGATCTCTTATGAGTAATATGACATCTCAATCTTAGGAAAGCAGAAAAGAAATAATAGATATTAATATATATGATATCTTGATCATAGCAGGAAAGAATAGAAGCAAATAGATACCAATAAATATGATATCTCAATCTTTGGAAATAATAATACTCCCTTTCTATCAAAATAAATCCCTTAATCTAACTAAGCATATATGCTAATGTAAAACTTTTTAAAAAAGTATTATTAATAATTATCAAGAAGTATAAAATATAAAAAGTTGATATTCATAAAATATAATTTTTTATTCTTATATTTATCTCTTTTTTTAGTTGACATATTACGCTTGCCTACCTACACAGTAATGATTTATTTTTATTTTTATTTTTTTAAGGTAAGGAGAAAGACCCTGGCCGTACCTCAACTCTTACGGTTTTTTCGTTCGGTATTTGCAGGTCAGACATTTTGAAAGTGAGGGGGAAGGGTAAGAGATCCCCACCCTCGAAGTGTCCCTATTAGGGATTGAACCCCCAACCTCAAGGTTGAAAGGTGTAATCCTTATCACTACACCAAGCTATGAACTCGGAAAAAATGTGGACACAGTAATAAAATTGGACGAATTTAATTGAATATCTACACTCCATAACATAACCATTCACATTGGTTCACGATTAAATTTGACTAGATATTTGGTCATTTGTCCGCTTGAACTTGGCAAATTTTGAACAACGAAGCAAACAAAATAGCATAGGTCAATATTGATTGCAACATGTAATGACCTTCGCTTAAAAAATATTCCTAAAAATAATCATTGGTCAATGCAAGTATTCCATGAATGGATGATAATGACAAATGATACTTTGTCCTGCGGTTTTGCCTCTAAAATATTATTCCAGCGATGATAGTGAAATACTGGGTAAGGTTCAGAGTTCAACGATGATAACAAGACATGGTAAAATTGAGGAATTCTTAGCCTCTAATAATTAGAGTTATAAATGACTCTATTAACACATGTTGGTATTTTATATAATACCAACATTAAAATATATCGATACCAACAAAATATTTTTGCATTCGTTGGTATCACCGAATAAGGTTGTTGTATCATGATAATACCATATAAAGTATAATGAAAAACCAACACGTATTATGACATTTTTTTTTCTAAATGCGGTAAAAGTGAATGAACAGATATGCCCTTATTAGATTCATTTCTAACTACTAAAGTCTTAGAATTCCTCACCCACTTTATTTGAACAAGACATGAAAATGACAAAATCCTACTCAATTGCATGAAAAGTTGTTCATGAGCTGAATATTTCTTTGTTGTTCACTTGTTCCCTATCTACTAATGTAATTTTTTTGATAAAAATTAACTTGTAAGTGAGAACGAAGGGTGAAAGAAAAGAATCCTTACAAAATGTTTCAAGGGTAAAAAGAATAGTGAAGTATTTCTTTGATTAAAACAAATAAAATAATCTCAAATTATTTTGTAATACTTACTTGACACTATAATATACTCCGTATACTTGTACTGTATATTACTCCGTAGTATAAAAATGTAGTCAAAATTCAATTAAATTTCACGGGAATTAAAAAGAGAAGAGGGGAAGTAATAGAAGTACATTAAAAAAATAGATTCACATGAGAAACACAAAAAAAAATAGAAAGAGAAAGTAGAAGTATATGGAAAAATTAAATTTACATGGAAAAATTAACTTATGCACAGCTATATTTGCATAACAAGGGTAATTTAAAAAGATCCCTTAATAAAGACAAGTAAAAATAAGGGTAAAAGGGTAAGTTTGTGACCTTGAAAAAAAAATGGATATATCATTTAAAACCACATAAACTAAAATAATTAAGGGTAGTTCATTTGAAGACGGACAATATATTTTTATTTCAAACAACCTTATCTTATTTTATGTACGTCGTATAAAGAACATGGCCTTAATTAGTACGGAGTTGTTCAAATTATCATTATGTTCATATATCTTCATTATTTGATGCGACTGTGATGCTACATTGCTAAGCCAATAATATTTCATAAGTTAGAGAGAACATAGTCTTCATTATGTCCATACTCCAATACTATGGAGTATTTTGTTATCCCGAGGCAAGGAAAATATAGCATTAGTAGTTAGTAATATTAAATTCTTCCTGGTTATAGGTATAATATATAGTCAAACCATAATTATGGTAGATATTTTATTTTTAAGTGGTAAGATAAAGAACTATTAGAAAGCCCTCTCCTCGAAGTAATTACGGTAGATAATTGGCTAAAGGTACAATAACGTACAATATACTCTGTATCATAGACAATATCGTCGTCGAAATTAAAGCTCAATTCTAATTGTGCATGTCAATCCATTTTTTATGATCAACCAAGGTCAAGATTTTTGTTGATTAGATTCGTTATCAAAATCTATTGAAACTAATCATCGTTTATCAACAATACAAATGTCACATTTAATTCCTATGTATGTTATGGGAATTGAAAATTTCCATGAATTTACACTTTCTAAATTTTTACTCCGTAATTTTTTATGATCAACCAAGATAAACATATTATTCCCAAATTTACATGATTTTTCATTTTCATATATATATCGATAGTGTAATACGGTTTCGACAAGGTTTCATACAATCATACTCTTACTACTAAACTAGTATGATCCTAAAGACCATTACACAACGTTCAATTACTATATATACAACATCATTAAACATAATCATCTAGCTTAATTAGGTTCAAACCTCATTTTCCTCTTGCAACTTCCATAAGAAACAGCAGGCTGCCCAGTACACCTTATCAGCTTAAACTCAAAGATACAATTCCTTTGTAACCCTTGCTTCTTCTCACAGCTTTGCACCTCATACAAACCATCATAGACATACTCGGTCCGTTGAACCACACGACCGCGACACATCCGGTTAACCTTAAACCCCTTCACCACCCGAACAGGATTATTAGTCTTCTTGCTCTCCCATAGAGCAAGATTACCACACTTCAACTCTTGATCACTAGGCCGTTTTTCGAGCTCTTTCGCCTTCGAATTCCCACCCTCTCCAATATATGTCAATACATTAGGATCATTCATATTGTCCAAAAGCCCTTCATTAGCAACAACACAAGTAGCAATTTTTGTACCACCCCAATCCATAGTATCAATCCCACGCTCAAAATGTCTATGCAACCCAACAAGCACTAATTCAACCCGATACTGAAACTTATCACCAACAACAACCCCAGGTACATGACCGATTCTAGAAGAACACACTTTAATTATTTTACCTTCATTAATTAATTCATTCATTGCCATTAAATCAATTCTCCCCTTTTTATCACCCACATTATTTCTATTTTCGGAAATTTCCTCAAATTTTTTCCTAAACAATTTCAACATATCCTCAACCTCAACCCTGGCTCTCTCTTCATTACTATCATCCACATTGATTGATGATTTCTTCACTTTTATTCTATCACATTCACCTCTTTTTCCCGGTTTACTCTTCACGGCTCCAACCTTTCGCCACCAGTGATAACGACACCTCTCATCCAACCATTTGGTACGCGGTTGCTCACCTTGGTTGGAACCTACTAGATTTGAGTCAAATCCAGGAGGAAAACCCGTAACATACTGAATAAATTTGGTGTTATGGGTTGATGTTCCTGACCCTGATGCAACATTGTTGTTAAATTTCGACTCACTGCTCTCCATGGCTAAGAATTTTGTTGTCGGGTTTGTTTGTATGTGATCAGACTCTCCTTCGATGATACAATACAACGCGTATTGTATCACAAAAACACTAGAGTAGTAGAGAATGATGAAGTTGTGATTTTGAGTGAGTGGATTATTGGAGTAGTTGAGATTAAAGAGGTATAAATAATAATTAAGGTGAAATTAACGTGAACAATGCAAAGGAAATGATGATGTGTAGTTTAGTTGTTTAAGGGTTAAGGGTTTCTAATTAAGTTGTAAAGGAAATGGGGTTTGTATTTAAAGGAGAATTGAAGTAATTTCGCAGAAATTTCATCTAAGGTAGCTTTAATGGTGGATGAGAGAATATGAGAGGCTTTTTTTTTTTTTTTTTTTAATTTCTGTTTTCAGGTGTTGCCGTGATAAATATGTACTGCCAAACATAGAAATTTTTTGAATTTTGAACTATGGTATAAATTCCACTTCTATTTCTTCTTCTTTGACTGACTTTGACTAACCAATAATAAAAAAATCTTTTGTTTGGACCTCTGTCCAAAATAAAAATATCTCAACCGTTTTCTTTTGATTGCAAGTTTGCAACATATTTTCCAGGCACGTTATTTAAGGATTCGATTAGAGTTGGTAAATGCGTTACTTTATCAAAACAATTTCAATAATGGTAAACTAACAATAATGGCAGTTGTGCAAATTTCATTATATAAAATGTGATAATGTACCAAATTTTAAGGGTAATCACGAATTATTTATAATTAACATATAAAAACTCAAATCACAAGCGTTAAGTGCCATATTTCCTCTCCCTAAGTGTCCTTCCCTTTTTTAATTTTTTTTTAAGACTAGGGTGTCTAATACGCGCGATTTGTGCACATAGCTAGCCATGTCCTGGAAATTCTTTCAGTTTGGTTTTATGTCACAACAAATACTTGTAGTTGGTAACATTTTTGAGGGGAATATGTAAAAAAAAATTTAGGGGTAAAAATTTCCGCACACTATTCTTAAGAGTTCATTAAAAGAGTCAACTAACATTAGGTAGATAAGTACGTAGATAAACATTTTAAAGGGTATAATTGCCCAAACCACTATTTATAAGAGTTATTTCAAACTTTTTAAAAAGGTAAGAATATAATTGTATTTCTATATAGTAAATGATTTCTTTTACATTCTAATAATTTAATAATTTAATGAATATATCTCATTGCTATGATATTCAACTTTTGTCTTCCAAATTCTTCAATTTTTCAAACAAATAAGTTATACCGTTTAATTATTTAAAATACTACATTTCTACTCGTATTTTATGTCAAATTGTTGCAAATAATATGAAACAAATGTACGTAGTAAATAATTGTAACCCATTTTTACTTTATACAAGGTGTGCATTGCACAGGCCAAAGAACTAGTCAGAGATTAATATTTCCACATAATCTCTACTTCCAACTATCATACTTTATTTTTCCACCAACCCTATTTCGGGCATGAAGAACATTCCTTTATTGCAATTAATATTTAATGGAAAAAGTATTTTATTACTCCATCCTTTCTATAATTTCTCCTAAAACTTCTCACATGAATAAATGAAACAAGTACTCCTAAATAAAATAAGAAGGGCAAAAGTAAATGAGTCCCATATGTTTTTCACTTATTTTTTTTTTTTGTCAAAAATGAATTGCAGCTCGAAAAACACTTAGTAGTAAAATAAAACAAATTACCCTGACTCAATTGAAAAATCAAATTTCTCCTGTAAACAATTGAGAGATAGCTTTCTAGTAAAAGATTCAAGGAATGAAACAATTTCATTTGTATAAATTGACTGCGAATGTGTAAGCGAATGAGACCACGATCAAAGTGTATTTCTTGCATACATACCAATGTTATTTAATTAGGAGGGCATTATTGGACTACCATTCAAGTTTTGAATCTATTCACTTGGTATACCGTCTGAGTATATTTGGACATATTGCAACAAACACGGGGTTGACGAAGCTAAAACCATTAATGTCTGAAGCGCCTTTTACGATAATTATTTAATTAGGAGTACATGTCAAGTTATTTGAGGCAAAGAAATACCCACTGAAGAATGTGTGTTGATTACATATCACATGCAGAGTATATATGAGAGTAGGGATAGCTCATGTAGAGCTTTCCTCCCGATGTTATGAGATTCGGGATTGATTTTTATCACCCCGCCTTTGTAACTCTCTAAACAATATATATATATATATATATATATATATATATATATATATATATAGTCTTCTGGCCTGTGCAATGCATGAGTACAATATAAATTTTTATTTTATAATATGTTTTAATTGAAAAATAAATAGTTTATAAAGGAGAAGAAGGGGTGAAGATTGAATGTAATTGTAGAAGATATTAAGTTGGGAGAAAGTGAATCAAATAACATTCATACATGTATTGAAAAGGTGAGGTGACATATGATATTGGTGAAAAATAAAGTTTACATGTGGCATGATGGTTTGTGTTTTAACTACCAAGTATAGATATTGTAATAATCATTAATCCGTGTAACAATACTCGTATTTTTTAGTCTTTATTTTGTGTGGGGCCTGTGGGGTGTGCTTATCCATTAGCTCTCATAACTCATATTAAATATTAAGGAGTAGTAAAATGTTATGAAAGATTTTCAGAAAAGAAAATGGATTAAGTAATAAAATATGGCCGTAAAAGAGAAGTGAATCAAATAATAAAATACGAAGGGAGCATTAATTACTTATTCTATGCCTCAAATTGAGGCAGAGAATTCCTCTTTTTCAATAAACTATGTTTGACAATTTGAGGATGCATGATTTGAGATTCCTCAAAAATGTAAGTTTACGGTCTTCAATTTCCTTCTTACAAGCATAAGTCAATTTTCTTCTTCTGGGCACGAGTAATCGAGTATGAATTGATGGTGGAGGGTGCTAAAATTACATATCCTTACATTTGTGATATACTTCTTTTGTTTCTATTTAGTTGACACTTTCAATTTAGGCACACATATTAAGGAGAGGAGAGAGAATGATAAAGCAAGTGACGTACATTAGTAAATGCAAGGTAAAAAACGTACCCAAAAAAGAAACGTGTCAGCAATAAATAAACTTCTTAAAAAGAAATACGTGTCAACTAATAAAAAAACGGAGGTAAGTACTTCTTCCATTTTCCTTTAAACGTACATCTTTAACTTTTACACTATTCATATATTCCAATTTGACTAAATTTGTTAATTTATAGTTAAGGAAAAATTTAATCAAGCTGGACTTTGATAAATTCGTCTTGATCTATATATTTTTAAAAAGATATTAATGATTGAAATAACGAAATAACCAGCGTGTAATGAGAATTGTTGCTTTTATAATAAAACAAAGGAGGTATTTGTATAAATAATGTTGCTCTTTTGTAAATTATCACAACCAAATAACCTTTAATAATACATTAAGATTGAGTATAAAAGGTGATAAATGTATTCAACTTTATAAGACAAATGTAGTAATAAAAAAAATTATGTCTAGTCTACATAAATATGACAGTAATAATATACTACATCCGTTTCATATTATTTGCAACAATTTTTCATAAAGTGTGAGTAGAAAATATCTAATCATTGTAAATAATATGAAACGAAGGTATTTTTAATCTTTAGTACAACATAAATAATGAGTACTGGTATGTGTTAATTTTTTTGGATAATATGACACCTTTGCCTTTAGCCAAAAAGTAAAAAATGACCTGCCTATATAAACCTCAGACACTATTAACATTTTAGTGTCCTCTTAAACCTAATTTTTCAATCGCCGCTGTTCAATTGTCATTCTGTGAATCATCTCAAAATTCCCAAAATTTTACCAGTGAGTCATCGCCACTTGCCAAATTGCCTGTCTCTCTGTGAGCCTTCTCGGGATTCCCAACTGATTGCCACCGAAGTTTAAGGTAAAATTCGATCCGATCCCATTTTTTGCGCTTTAACTTGCTTATGAATCATAAATGAAGGTTATGGTTACCAATTCTATTAAAGATTTATGTGAGAAGCAATTTTTTTCAGTAATTATTTTTTCGTGATATATTATTCTGAAATAATTTTTCGCAGTTGAATTATATTTTTGATCTCAAAATTGATTCTCTACTTGACTAGATCTATACATTTGATGATAAAAAACTAATTTTTTTTGACTCGTTTGACCTTGTTTACAAATAGATGATCCAAATTTATGGTTTGTCACAAAGTAAGTTTCATGACAAATGTTATTTCTCATAGATTTTTGTATGCACATTTTTGTATACTCCAAATGAATTCATGTATAGAGTGTCCTATATATATTTTAATTTGGTTAATTAGATAGACATCACGTTTAGAACGAGTGGTAAATTATTGTGAATATAAAATAAAAAATCCCTTGTGTAAAAACTCGATCAAATGACACAATACTCATTCTTTTACTTTTATTTAAAATTTCAGAAATTTATATCTTAGTCACCAATATTCGATGTGAAAATTGTTTTTCACGCAAAAAGATATTTTGCATGCAAATTTTTACGTACGGTTTTAGGCGAAATAAAAATTGTTAAAAAAATCTTTTTAAATTATTCTTTGTATAATTTTTTTTTTATGAATAGCAGTCCTCTTATTAGTTATTGCGCTTTAATTGCAAAAAATTGATTTAAAATTGACCCAACATTATAATTTATATTACCAAATAGACATATAAAAAGTTTTTGAAAAAATGTTAATTTTTTTTAAAATCAGCGGAAATATAAAATTTAACTCATCTAATAAAAATATATTAGATACAAAGTATAAATTATTATTATTATTATTATTATTATTCATTTATTTCAGGCAAAATTGTCAAAAAATACTTTCTTTTTTATTTAAAATTTCTTTCTCTCTCTTTTTTTTATTTATTAAAACTTTTTGATAAACAAACATTTCATATGTATAAAACATAAAATATAATCTTCAATAAGTTTCTTAAATATATTATCAAGGCATCGTCTAGGTACAAAACTAGTCATTATATAAATTAATTTGTTAAAGTTTGGGACATTCTTTACATGACCTTAATATTTAAATTTATGAGATTAACCGTTAGGACATCAAATTTAGAAAAATAATCTTAAATTTAAAATAAAAAAATAAAAAAACGAAATATAAGTAATTTCAACTTGGTCAAGTTTACAATGACTTTGAGACTTAAAATGAGCATAATACCCTTCCTTACTACTTTAAAAAGATTTAAAAAAAAGTCTTAAACTCCCTTAAACACCAAACACCACAAGTTAAAAACTATTAACCTATTATAAATTGTAGTGTCTACTATTATAAGAGTATTACTATCTTGATAAATGCTTGAAAATTTGAAATATTTCGATTAGTGTACTATGGTTATTATATGATCTTAGGCTCCAAATCGGATGTTAGAAACAGTAGCTGGCCAATATTAACTACACATTAAAGAAATTATCAAAAATGTTAGGGGAAATAAATCAAAATAACTTAAATCCAAAATAACATGCTTGATTTCTGCTAATGATCAATATGAACACCTTTACATTATATAATTATTTTGTTCTAAACATAGAAAATTTGTGTAATTGTTTGATTTTTTTTGCGATGCAGCCTAGAAATATCGATCAATTATGGCACCACAAAGGAGATCAAAAAGAGTCCTGAAAAGGGACTATGAAAATATGAGTAATACTCCTAGTGTACCTACTAGGCAGACTTTGCCTAGGAAGTGTAAGATGGTTAAACCATTTTACGCGGTTGATATCTATGATGATGAAGAGGTTTATCAAATAGTTCCTCAAGCGAAGAAGAAGAGAGCAGGATTGGCATCTTCTATGAGCACCAAAGAACCGGCTAGTACAACAGTTGACAAACATACTATTATGGAACTGGCTAGCACAACAGTTGAAAAGCAAGAGAAACCGGCTAGTACAACAGTTGAAGAACAACCCCCTATTATAACAGAACAAGATTCTATTATAGAACCGGCTATTACAACAGTTGATAAGCATCCTATTATAACAGAACAAGATCCTATTATAGAGTCGGCTAGTGCAACAGTTAATGAAGAGCAAGAAAAGCCGATACCAGAGGAAATATTCATCATCTATACCATCCTAGCATGGATTATAGAAATGAAAGTGGTGAATGAGAATACAATGGTAAGATGTATCCATGGGACGAATAAGGAGGTCATTGGTATGGGGATGCTCACTAAAGAAGGGATTTTATGTTTGTGCTGTTGTAGCGTGTTTTCTGTCTCTCTATTCCCTAAACATAGCGGAGATAACTTGGGTACAAGACCTTATGAGAACATATTTATTGGAGAAACGAATGTTTCGTTGTTGACTTGCCAGCTTGAGGCATGGAACAGGCACTCAGTGCCTGCTCGAAGTGGCTATAATCATGTTGTGAGGCAGCCTAAGGTCCATGATAACTCTGATGATACTTGCGTGATTTGTGCTGATGGAGGTGTTCTTATATGCTGTGAGAATTTCCCTTCTACATACCATCCTGCATGTTTGGGCTTAAACGTAAGTACTTGGCTTGTCCATTCTCCTTTACTGATTTTTCGATTATAATTGATAGAACTTGACAAATGTTAATGAACTTGGTTAAATCTGCAAGCTAAGAATGAAAAATAGTTTATTTTGACATACCTTTTTAGCTAATCATCGGATTGATGCATATACTCATTTACTGTGTGATTTTCCACCTTCAACTGCAGGATGTTCCGCAAGAGGAGTGGCTATGTCCTTATTGTCATTGCAAATATTGTGATGAGAAAAACCCGAAAAATATTCTGTTAACCTGTCTTCAGTGCTTGAAAAAATGTATGTGAAGCTCTTCCCACTTTTGTTATGTTTCTAAAAATATATATATGTTCAAATACATTAGGCAGAACATCAGCTGATCTCATTGTTTTCTGTTGCTATAATGCTATATAGATCATTCGTCGTGCTCAGAATCTTTTGACAGCAAGCCCCCGAGGCCAGAGCCACATACCCTCCCCTTCTGTGGAATCACCTGCTGGAAGGTAGGTTTCTCTGATAACATAGCCTTTTGTGTTCATATCAATAAATGGTTGATAAAGTTGTTGCTTAAAATAAATGATTTTGTTCTGTTTTCTGCTTCTTTTACATTCTAGGTGTTCCATAAACTGGAGGGAATATTGGGAAGAAGCATGCCAACTGCAAAGACTGTTGACAAAAAAGAAATTACATGGAGATTAATCAGAAAGATGGATGTAGACTTGGCAGGACAAAATCATGAAGACCTGTATATGAAAGCCAACTGCAATTCAAAGCTTGTTTTAGCAAATAAGCTGATGGAAGACAGTTTCGACGGGCAAGCTCAGATGAACATGCTCCAAAATGCCCTTTATAGTTGCGGGTAAGTCCTCCTCCGTGTCTTATAAGCTTGTTCGAAGCTCAAAACCATCCAAACAAAAGGAACTAATAGGTGAAATTTTCTTGCCTATTTAGGTCCAACTATACAAGGACCAACTTCAGCAGATTTTACACTGCTATTTTGGAGTGTGAAGGGGAGGTTATTTCCGCGGCAACACTAAGGTATTAATCTCCTTTAAACAAAGTTTGTAGAATTACACTTCTGTTAAATATGATTGCTCATTTTGTTGTGTATGTGTTCATCAGATTGCCGTCGCCAGATCTAGCAGAAATACCCTTCATTGCTACTAGTGAGCAATGGATAGGAAAAGGGCTGTACAAGATCTTAATGGAAGTCATTGATGCAGTAAGTTTAAGTTGCAGCTCTTTTTATACGATTCAAAGTCTAATATTAATGTTGTTTAAGTGCATTAGACCAACTACAATTTTTACCTCTCAGGCCTTAGGCGAAATTGGGGTGGAACATATCATTATACCATCTTCAGCTGACATGGTGGAATATTGGCATTCTCTTGGGTTTGCGCCTCTGGAAGACGCGATAACAGAAAAATTAACAACCTTGAACACCCTGATGTTCCCTGCAACTGTAAGACTGAGGAAAGCTGTTAAGTTAGTAAAAAGGGCCATGATCAAACATGACCTGAACTTGGATCCAGCAGCAAATTAGTAACTGTCATCTTTTTTTAAGCTTGTTCAAAAACTTAAATGTCTGATGTAATTTTAATTTTGTGTTTGTTTCATTAATGTTGAAACTGGCTAGCACAGAGAGTTAGTGAAACTACAGGATAGAGGACAGTTTTTAGTTGATCAGTCATTCAGTCTAGTGTTATGGACAATAGAGCAATGTCTGTATACCTGTATTGGCCTCCGCGACTCTTCTTTAATCTTTCTTCAGTTTAGACTTGCAACAATGGTATTTATGTACTAAAGCTGTGTTATTGTTAAGTGCCCTTACTTGTGTTGGACTATTGAGTATTTGATACGAGTACTTGATTGAGGTGAAAGACAGATTCCTTGTTATATTGATTGACAAACATGTTGTGTAACAGAAAACAAAGTGATCATGGCATTTGTAATATCTAATATTTCCTGCAAAGATGGCAAAATTGGACAAATATATACTTCAAATGACATGGCTGCTTGACTATATTAACAGTCATGCAGCTTAAAACAATCAAAAGACTTCTTTTTGGGTGCAAACAATCAAATATGCTAACAACCTGGTGTGAAAATGGATTTCGTGAGTTGTTCCACATTGAAGAACTTGCTATACTATTATAACTTAAGGAGTTATCTTTCACATTATCAATTGATTTTAGAATGAAGTATGCTCTTAACATGACTAACATTGTCAATTGAGTTCATAATGGACCATGCTCTTAACATAAATAACACTAACGCCCAAGGAATGGGTTTGGGCAACACAAACAAGAACAACGAGAGTTTGGTCCACTTACAAGTCCAAAAGAGGTTCCATACTAAAATTAATTGGAGTTATTACGAGCAACTCTTCTACGGTATATTCTATAATGTATTTTCAATGTGAGACAAAGACAACTTACATACAAATGGACTATAATGGGGTAGTATCACATATAAATGTCCTACACATTTCTTCTTTTTTTCTTTTTTTAGGAAATGTCCTACACATTTCTATTAAAAATTAAAGAATTAAAATTAGATTAAATTTAAAAAGTCCACTATAAAAAAAAAAAAAAAAATTAAGAAGTCCATATATCAATTATTATTCCATTTTTATTTTGCAAAATTTTCAATTACATTATACAAGTATGATATACTAAAATGTTTGACTAGTCATCAACGTCATTACTCTATCCTCTTTGTCCTTGAACATTATCCACCTTGGTTCCATCCATCTCTCAAGTAAAATGAAGATATCTTAGAACATTATTGTTTTTTTTTTTTCAGGGAAGATATATTGAATATCAAATCATGATACATTTTCAATTCAGGAGATATATATTGGATATCAAATCATGATATAAAATTATGACTAATCTTTTTTTTTTTTTTTTAATAAGAAAAGATCATTATTTCCTTATAGTGTAAATTCTCAATATCATCCTCTGGTAAGCCCATTAACTTTCTAGTTAGCCCAATTCATCTCAAGCCTATCCACTCCAATAAATTAGTTACCTAGTAAAATTGTTGGTCATTTGGACTGGTTCAATCCAGCTTTTCCATTTCTTATAACTACTCTCTTTTATAATTTAAGAGTTGTTTTTTCAATATTCATCCACAACACTCCAAACCTCCAATTCCCAAAATCTAAAGGACTTTTTTTTTTTTTTTTTTTTTACATGTCTACATATAATCGTATGTATATCTCGTGCGTTAGCACAAATACACTCTAGTTTTGGATAATTACACAGATCACCAACTACCTACCCTTTCACTTGTTTAAGGGTAGGTTTAAGAGTATTTCAATATTATTGACTTACTATTTTTTATTTTTTTTTAGTTGCTCATTACCTTTTGTCTTATAACCTCAAAAGATCAAGGCTTAAGGTAGCGTTTTTCGTTAGGCCGGTATGCAAAAATTGGACTTTCGAGAATAGCGTGAGTAACTTACTAGGAATCCATTATATTGCTTTTAATACATACAAAGTAATTTTATATTCCGTCAAAGAAAAAAAAAAAAAAAAAAAAACCTTGTATTTTCCCTCACTTGATAGTATTCTTACCTTAGTTCTTGGAGATGTAAGGTTCAGATTATACTTGGTAATATTGGACCAAAAAAATCAAACTAAATCTAGCGTTAAAAAAAAGGGGTCCGGTCAACTAAATCTAAGAATGAAAATCAAACTTGTCGGTTGTGAATGTTCACATTTTGAGCAGTCAAAAGGTGATCGAATAAAATGAATGGCAAATTAAACTAAAGTGTGTTAGTGTGGCGAAGTTAAACACTACACATCAACACATGAGGAAACCATTCAAAAATTCAAATACATGATCCGAAACTCTGAATAGATATATTTTACGACAATAAAGGGGCAGTGGTACTCCAACATAAAAATTGGATGGAATTCTATTAGGAATATAGAAAAATATATCCAATATACTCGTATATACTATTATGAGTATGTTTTATACGAAGTAAGTTACAGATTAGGTTATTATGGACTTCACCGAAAATTACTACACTGGCGGATTTTATGTATCTGAATAATGAATATCCAACAATTGATACACTTTCATATATGCATGACAATTATTTTGAAATAGTGGGGAGACAGTACACTAATTATCTACAAGTTCATCATCCGACCATGAAATGTACACTGAGTTTAATATAGTTTGATTAATTTAATAAGAAGTCCATAATAATCAACTGTTTGAAGATTCGAATAAAAATCATTAGGAAAAAAAAAAGGAAATTACATGCTAGCTCGTAAATTACACGTACTACTAGTAGTAACTAGTAACTACGGAGTAGTTATTACCAATATTACGGAGTAACATTTATAATGATGTCACAAACTATTTGCATGCATGACGTAGCTTTACAAAAATATAAATTAATTGATGATAAAGTACAAAGGGTTAGTAGAAAAGTATTAATTATTTAAAATAAAATGTAATCCAAGGCATGCAGCAGCAACAGAGACTTTCATATATTTCCATCACCGTGTTGAAATTTCATTACGTTCCACGCATGTATTTTTAAGGACTTTAATATAATACAAAATTATTTAGGTCTTTCATCTTTTATTTTGTTTCTGTCTTATTAGGCGATCTAATTAAATTTACGAGTACATTAAGTCAATAAAAGCATTTGTGCACCAACAATCAATCTATTGTACTAACATAATTAAACATGCTCAATTAATAAATAAAACACCAAAACATGCATGTGTATCTAGGGGCAGGCCGGGGTATGCTAATTCAATAAATAAACTCTATTGTTTTAGAATAGTTCGAACACTTTATATCTTCATATGTTAAAATAGTCTTTGTTCTTTATTTCAATTCATTGTCCGTTTTACAATAATTTTTTCTTGATTGCTTTGTGATTGTAACTTTAATTTTGTAAGGCGTTGTCAATATGTGGTTTAATTTGTTCTTATATATACATAATTATTCGCTTCAATCATGCAAATTTTATACCCTTAAACTTTATTATTAGTTAGGAAGTGTATCAAGATTGGTATATTGTCATCCATATAGACTAATTCACACAACAAACAATGACCAACAACATCCTTCTCAATCACTGCACCCTAAATGGAGTTTCACCAACTATTCCAAAGGATGGCTAATAAAAGTCCTCATTTCATCCTTGTGTGAGTTGTAATGTGTCTTAAAATATTAGAGAAGAGTCATTTGAATTTAAAAAAACAGCATGACTTGCCTCATAGATATAAATTAAATTTGAGTAGAAAATGGTGCTAATAAACTATATCTTTAGCTTACTTTTTATGATGTCTATTAAATTATCTCAACTACTTCTTTAGACCATTTTTTCATAAAGTAGCTACCATATGGTACTATGGTAGTACATACACCAAAACATTGTTTTTTTAATTCCTTTTACGTGCATGCATGCATGCATGCATATTTCAATTCATTTTAAAACAAGTTATTGCCTAACTTCCTCCATAGCTTCGTCCCGATGTCCCATATTCACTATAATTCGTCTCAAAATAATTAGTTATTTTTTAAACTTAAATTAGTACGAAGCTAATATATCTAGTCATGTAAATCTAAAAATATGATAAACAACTGATATTTTGAAAATATATGTACAATAAGACAAATGATCTAATAATATCTTATTTACTTAATAATTAATTTATATATATGATACTCCGTAGTAGCTAGGAAAATATCATCAAAATAAAATATGTGTACAATGTGTAAACGACAAATCAACAATGGGAGTACATATTTATCAAGTTATTAACCGATCACCCATGTCTCATTTAGTCACAATATTGGGGTCAATCTCTTTTTTGGCGTGCATGAATTTGTAGATGACAATATAAGCAAGTCAATCTCTCCTTTTTTTTTTTTAAGTAGCACCAACTAATTAATGTTAAAGTTCCGATTTTCTCATAATCAAAATAGTAATTAGCTAGTTATTTTCTACTCAAGAACCAAGCTTGCAACTTCCAAAAGCGAGAAAAGCTCATTCGATTGAGTGACTAATGAAGATTGATCTGAACATAAATAAATAGTCATGACTCATGAGTTGTGACTTAGGATTTCAATAATTCTTTGAGCAGTAAAATAATATAAAGAAATTGAAAGGAATGGTGTCCTTCGAACAAATGTATTATTTTGATAGAGGGTTCGAAATTAATTAGAAAGCTAATTATTCAGTGAGGTCAAGTGATCGGAATGCCTAGCTGGAGGTCGCTTCCGATCAGTAATATTAATGAATAATTAATATTACAGCTTAATCTTGACTGAACCCTTTGGGTCACACCTAATCGTATAACTGAACCGAAACGACGAATTAATTCGAAGGATTAAATGAGTCAATAGAGTTTTACGAACAAAGACGTCGGATTACGAGCTTAGAGTGTCGAAACCGAGCGTCGAGTCGATTTAGGAATCGACAAAGACGAGAAAAATAAACAAATAATATATCCTGCTAAAATTGCGGCATGGTAGCAGGCCTAGCCAAGGGAAAAGCCGCCATTTGGGCGTGCCTCGGAGCCCAAGGGTTGAGGCCGATCTTCCTTGCGTTGGCCAAGTGTGTCATGCACATGGGGTTGGCGGGTTTATGCTTGCCCTTCAAGAATGCGTTTGTGGTCCTTACCTACTCCCTCTCTATGTAATGACACTTGTCATTTGATTATTATTTCATGACTTTTAATTTAATTTAGAATTAAATTAATTTATATTTTTCTCACTTTACCAACTATCCCACATTGAAA